GTGACAGCAGTGTCTTAATGCTATCGAATGCTGGTGAACCTTTCAGATCAGACTTCGAATGAAAAGAGTGGAAGAAGTTCACTGGCATCAGCACTAGTTCAACGCTCTGAGACACTACCCCAAGTGAAAGGCACTATATAAATGCAAGTTGTTGTAGCACTATTGAGCAGTACTGGTTGGGCTGTATAGTATATGGAGGGGTGGCTTTTAAACCATAAAGCAGCCCTGCCGTTACTGGAGATGTGCTGCAAAAATCCTGAACAAACTGCAAACACTGAGCTACAGTGAAGATCTGTTTGTACAACAGCAGCAAAAGGGACTGAGGCACCAGCTTCCTGAGCCCTCCCCCGCTTCCCGCGAGTCTCCAAACCAACAGACTGTTTTGAGAACAACAACAAAAGTCCCTTTTCACATCTAATTTCTCCTCATCAGCTTCGCACAACAGTCAAGTTGCCAAAACACATAGCAGTTTATTTCAGTCTCCTGGGTTGGTGGTGCAAGGTTGGAAGTAGCCACATTCACACTCAAACCCAGTTACATGCTGCGTTGCGATCTTCCCACCCACTCTGTTGGCCCAAGAAAAAGCTGGCGATTACTTAAAGGGATTGTTGGGGATTGATGGCCTTATCCTCAAGTCTATCTGGAAACATCTCTTTTGAGAAACCTCTCTTTTAAAGTTTTGATGGGGGAAAAAAAATCAAACTGAAGACCCGACTGGGCCGCCAATCAGGTTCATCACATTCTGGCGTGAAATGGACAACCACAATATGTGCGTTCTTGAAGCTTGAGCCCTTTAATAGTTTCTGTCTCTCTCTCCCACCCCCCCCACCCAGCCCTAATTGGTTCCCATGCCTCCCCCCCTACTCCCTCATTGATCAAACACGACAAATGATATTTTTATCGGTAGCCTTGGAAACAGAACGATGCTGGTCAGTCTCTTTGGGAACCGTGGTCTGTATATTACTTTAACCTGGAGGATTTTTTTTAATGTGAAGACAACTCACTTTACAGTATATTCTGTGAAGCGCTTTGGGACGTCCTCCCGACGTGAAAAGCGCTATATCAAATGCAAGGATTATTATTATTATTATTATTGGAGATTTTGCAATTAATATTCACCATGTGGAGTCCTGGAGCTCAGTGGTTAAAACACACGCCTTGCAAGTGAGAGACCTGAGTTCGATTCCCAACAGGGCAAAACCTTAGGCAAGTTTCCTTACTTCACACGCCTGATAATAATCCCTTGAAAAAAAACAGTAATAAATTGGTCCTTTTCAATCCACGACTGTTTGTGTGACACTGCTGTGCGCAATTGGCTGCCGGGTTTACCCACAAATATACAGTCAATTCACTTGACAGCCTATTCTGTGAAGCGCTTTGAGACGTCTAGGAGACGTGAAAAGCGCTATATCAAATGAAAGGATTATTATTATTATATATGTCATTGGGCTCAGTTGGAAGCATCCTCACCCCTGAGTCAGAGGGTTGTAGGTCCAAGCTCTTTGTCAGTAATTCAAGCTCAAAGTTTAGGCTGACACTCCAGTGCAGCTCTGGGAGAGCGTTGTATTGTCAGGGGTGCAGTCCTTTGGATGAGACATTAAGCCAAGGTGTAATGTATCATCCAAAGGACCGGACCTCTGACAATGCAACACCCTCCCAGCGCTGCATTGTTCAAGTGGACATTTAAAGATGGGAAACCTTAGGTTGTCCAGTGCCTTGGGCCGTCCCCAGCATGAAAACTGCTATTTAAATGTACATTTCTATTGTCTCCACTTGAAATAAAACCACACGATTTCCATTCTTGTTACGAGAGTTCCTTTTTAAAGACAGAGCACCATAGCTTAACAAGGTAAAATCTGTCTGTGTGCCTCTATTATTTGAATTGATTCAAGACAGTCGAGTGTCTCGAAGTTTCCAATGACGAGCATCCACAGCAGCTTTGCACATTTATTTTTTTTAAGTGTAGGAAGAAGAATACAATGCCCAGATGATGTGTAAACACAGTGCAGGCTTAGCAATTAGATAAATGGATCAGAACTACCAATTCCATATGTTCCCAGCTTGCAAAAACAGACAAAAGCATGTATTTAGATACAACACAAGAGCTGTGCATAATAACATGCTCACAATATTTATCCCAATCTCCATAATTAACCAGAACCATCAAATTAGTGCAATAGGCTCGCGGCCACTTCTCTGATACACCAAAATAGCACAACAGGATAGGCTCCAATGAATCTCTATAAGCAGATAGCTAATGATCGGCAGACAATAAGAGAAACCGGTAAGCTTGCCAATATTTGTGTACTTTTTGTTTTGCTGTTAAATTGGCCCGGAGCTGAACGTCAGGCATCAATACAGACCATGGAAATTGTCAGCTTGCATGGTCGTCGATTGAATGTTGTTGATGTAACCTGCTGGCTTTTGAAAAGGGAGCTGGCCAGAAATAGAGCACGTCCCCAGCCAGCTAGCGCTCACTGTGAAGGCTCACACACAAAGTCGGGCCACTTCAACAAGGCGTTTCATAAAGCACACCCTAGAACACGTGTCCATGTTTCCAGGAAAGGAAGGGAATTTAAAAAAGTAGCAAATTCTCAAGCTTAGTCTTAAGGGAAACTACTATGCAGGTGAACGAGGCAGGTATGGGACCATCTCCATTATAACCCACCGCACATACACTTCAGTATTGAGTTACTGAACTCCCTAAAAATGAACTTGAAAACTGTATCGTGAAAGAACAGCTAAGTTGATAGACACTTAGGAAGTAAGGGTGACTAGGGAAATGCAGCAAAGGCAGAGAGAAAAAAAAATCTGGTTCAACAGGCTGAAGTGCCTTCCTGCTGTTCCTAAGGTACAAGCACCAGTCCTGTTAGAACCAATGGAAATTGTATTAGTGGGTTTGAATTGAAAGTTACATTTTGCCTGTTGTGGTTGTGCTGTTCCTCAATGAATATCACTCAGCCTCAACACATCAATACACCTCCCAACATCCAGGGAACCATCGAGGGACCGCACTTCAGGCTCATCGACTCAATGGAAAAGATGTACTCGAGGAACAAAAGAAGAGAGAGAAAAGTTGCACAGTTCAGAAAGAAATGAGGAGGTGTGAGAGAGCCTCAAATAATTCAAAGAATGGGGAAGATTTTTCTTGCAGCAAGTGACTGAACATTCCTGTTGAGTAATACAGGAATTGATTGCACTGAAATAGTGAATTGAAAGAAAGCAGGCAGCATCTCCAAGATTATGACAAAGAATAAAATATTTATATTGTATTTATATTGCATTTATATAGCGTTCTTCACCCAGGATTCTGTGAGACAATGGCAGGGTTGGATGCCAAGGAAGGTGGTGACCATAGTTGCGGTCGAAGATGTAGGTTTTAAGGTAGGATTTAAAGACAGATAATAATAATAATAATTCTTGCATTTGATATAGCACTTTTCACGTCGGGAGATCGTCCCAAAGCGCTTCACAGAACACACTGTAAAGTGAATTGACTGTATATTTGTGGGCGAACGTGGCAGCCAATTGCACACAGCAATGTCCCACAAACAGTCGTAGATTGAAAATGACCAATTTATTATTGTTTTTGGAGGGATTATTATTAGGCGTGTGGAGTAAGGAAACTTGCCCAAGGTTTCGCCCTGCCTGGAATTGAACTCAGGTCTCTCGCTTGCAAAGCGAGTGCTCTAACCACTGAGCTACAGGACTCCAAGAAGGTAGGGAGTTCCAGAGGTTAAGGGCATAGTGGCTGAAGGCATTGCAGTCAGAAACAAAATGCACCGTAATATTCATCTTCAAGATGTCCGATTGAGACAGTAAGGAAAGTTACTGCCAGTTATTTCCAGGACCTGACAGAGTAAAAGAGAATGCTCTGCATGTTGGTCCTTAAATAAATATCCTCAAGATGGTTGAGGGGGGCCAGTGAAGAAGGAAAGATGAGGGGAAGTAGGGTTGAAGTTGCTCTGAGGAGGCCAAAGCAGGCCTGTCCCCAACAATTGAAGGCACTGTTCAAGGGTCAACTGCCAATGCTTTGGTTCGTGAATGAAGCTTGTTGATGTAGAAAGGTTGTGAACTCTGTCAACCATAACCCTAATGGGTGTGGTGGTCCCAGATAGATGAGGGCTGTTCTGTGCAGTTAACAATGATATGAATCTGGTTCTAAACACACTCGACTTTAACATTTATCAGCACGATGTGAAAATTTGAATGCAATAACGGCTAAAAAAATGAGAGAGACTATAAATAAATGATTTGGGAAGGTATTCAAGTCTACCACCCACAGCATGTAATTTGAACCTCAAGGGTGTATTACAACCTTGTAAAGCTCCCAGCAATTTTAGGTAATTCACTTTTACATAAGAATACTACATTTATACACGCTCGGTGAAGCACTGTTAAACAAGAAGGTACGACAGGAAATACAAAGACCGATCAAGTGATCTTGTGCTCACTCAGCTTGCGAATCAAAAATCATGGAGGTTTCCGTGTTCGGCCAAATCAGGCCACAATCTTCTCAACCTCAAGTGGCTGTGGATAGCTTCTCAGACAGACTGTAGCTTACGAAAGACGTGTTAAAACAGAACAACACCTAATCCTTGCATTTGATATAGAACCTGATCACGTCCTTGAGACGTCCCAAAGTGCTTTACAGAATATACTATAAAGTGAATTTACTGTATGTTTTGTGGGCCAGAAACAACCCAGCTTGGTGGAGGAAAGCATCTCATCTGGATAATACTTCCCTTCCCACAGTTTCAGGATTGCAGAACATTTAATAAAATCCAAAGTTAACAGCCCAGGGCAATGTTAAGGCACCCCTCAGGGGAAAGGATGAACTGCTTGCCCATAAAATAGAGTCAATTCGTTTTACAGTATATTTGGTGAAACGCTTCGAGACACCTCAATGACGCGATGAGGCACTACATCAAATGTAAGGAATATGATTATTACTATTAATAAATCAGTGTGGGGGGGGTCTTTTAAGACTCCACACTTACCACCAGCTCAGTGAACATGATGTCGAGTTCCTCAGCTGGAGGCATGGGCAGTGCTGGCTCCATGGTCTGCAGGGCAAAATTGCTGTCATTCCGTAGCCGGTACGTGATCTCTGGGTGGTCGCTCCCTCGAAAGCAGCAGAAGATGAAGGAAAGACCCCGGGTACTTCTCTTCCGAGGGGCCATGTTCATACTTTTGGTGCGTCAGTCACGGCTAATGATGCCTGTAGAAACAAACAAAAAAAGGGAACTTAACATACAAAGAGCCTAACGAAACCAAAACGCACACACAAAAAAAAAGGACTTCACAAAGGCAAAACACATTCCACACCGTTCACCATCCTCAGCCCCATTCGCTTTGCATCGTTGGGCAAATGGTCCAACGCTTTCTGTGCATTCCTATTTATCTTCCAGGCAGAACTGGCACAGTTGCAGTTAATATTTAAACATTTGGCAATCAAAACACTGAAAAAAGCAGGCATCCCTTTGCTGAGGCTTTTGGTTTGTACCGGAACCCTGCCAAAACGGATATTGCCGACAGAAGTTATACAAGTTTAGAAAATAGTGGGACGTAAAGGCATCACGTTACTGAGCCATCCAGGCTGGAAGGTTGTAGGTCGGCACTGTGTTAGCTGATTGCATTCAAGCAAAACCTTGCATTTGTATAGGGCCATTCACATAAGGATAACATCTCAGAGCACTTCATGAGGACAGTGTTGGACACCGGGTGAGGGAGTGGGGAAGCAACTGTACATGTAGTCAAAGAGGTATGTTTTTAGGCAGGATTTAAAGATGGGATAGAGAGGGAGGCAAAGGGCACGACTTGCTGCATTAAAATTAGGCCTCATCACCTGTGTTGAGGGAGAAGAAAGAAAATCAACCGGGACTCCTGTTCCTGATCATTATCCAAAGACCACGTGCAAATATGGGTTTAGGACAGAATTGCGCTTTGCTATCCATTCGCCCCTCCAACTGCCTCTCCCCTTCAACCCCCACTCCCAGTCGAATGAAATGTCAATACTTATGGCCAAAGCTCACATGGAAAATAACCTGGATGAGGTACATGTAGCAGAAACTACCCAACCACAGGAGGGAGATAGGAACAGAAAGAGGCATTCAGCCCATTGACCCTGTTCCACTGATTTATTAAGATCTCACCAGATCTATTAATCCCGATGCCTCGCCCTTTCACCAAATAACTTAATCCCTTGACCACCTGAGTACCTTTTAAATCATCCCTATCGATTCCACCTCGACAACTTTCTAAATCACAGCATTCCACATCTTGAAATTTTTGCCCAGCAGATGAATGGCCTCCTCATGTTACTGCTATGTTCCTTTTTCATTCCTGTGGCTGGTTGGCTTCTGGTAACTCGCCCAACACCTCCAAGATACAATCGGGCATGAAAGTGACTATATAAATGTAAGTTGTTGTGGTAAGTTGTTGTCATTATCATGCGAGAGCCTTAGCAGTGAGTATCCACATTCCATTCGACTGGAAAGAGGTTTGGGAGAGTGTGGGGCAAGAAAGCCTTTAATCCACTCCCTTTTTGGTGGAAAGCAAGCAAAAAAAAAAACAAGTTTAGATGAATAAAAGGACTGAAATAAGCTTCCACAATCAACTGATGATATACAAGAACCTCAGTACATAAGGTGCTAAAATTAAAGCCACAACCCCCCCCCCCACGCACACACACTAAAGGGCCCACACTGCTAGAACATATTGTCCAACACAGCTGGCAGGATGACAAAAGAGGTCTTTAAGTCATTGAATGAAAACAAACTGTTATTTCTGGGAGAGGATATGAGCATATCCTGGTGGGCCCAGTTGGCTGACACGTTGTTTACAATAGGGCCGGTAATCAGATTGCGAAGCCAACAGAACACTGAACAACGCAAACCAATTTTGCGGCCCAATACCATGCACACCAACCCCCATCATCCGTCCCCCACGTCACATATGCTGAATAGCAGCCAGAGATCTCTCTGATCAGTCTCAGCTCGGAATCTATGAAACTGAAAGTTCATTTGCTACACTTTGTTTCTCACTTCAAACTGCATTTACAAATGTTTCTATTTGAAAGTACCAAATGGAACAGTGGAATAAATAAATATTCTTTGCATTAGATAGAATGCCTTTCATATCAGGAGCAAATTTCAAGCGCTTCACAGCATTTACTGTATTTGCTGTAGAGTTATAGACAAACGTAGCAGTCAATTTGTACACAGCAATGTTCCACAAACACGAAATGAGTGACCAATTTTATCTGCTGGCCAGGACATTAGGAAAAATTCCCTTCTCTTTTCAAATAGTGTGATAGGATCTTTAACGTCCACCTGAACATGTAGACAGTTTGACGCAATATGCAGAATTTACCCATTGTGGATTTCCCCCAATTAAAATCACCCAAGAAATCATCTTTCTCAGAAAGAACATCCAAGTAGATAAAGCCCATGTTCTCATCACCTTTCGTCAGCTATTCCCCCCACCCCCAGACGTTTGACAGAATACCTCCCCACCACCAGACGTTTGACAGAATACCTCCCACATAATGTCATACTAACACTACATTTTTTAACCACACCAGCTGCATTCCAGATGATATCTCAATGTCCTTAAAATCACAAGTTCAGTATGTTTGATCATCTCTCCCCCTCCTGATTTTTGCAATTGTAACCAGCAATGTCTCCAGCTTCTTTGTTAAATACTAACAGCATAAACAGATTATCTTCCAGAGTCGATTCTAACCGAGCGCAATGCTGTTATCAAGCTCTTCACTGCAGCAGGACTTTGCTTCAAACGTAGTCTCCTGTGGGTTCACTTCCAGTGCTTGCAGAGCTGCCAGAGCCAGATAACAACAACAACTTGTATTTATACTGTAGCTTAGTGATTAGAGCACTTGCTTCGCAAACGAGAGGACCTAGGTTGGATTCCCGGTCAGGGCGAAACTTTGGGCAAATTTCCTTAGATAAACAGGCCTCTTTACTTAGCAGTAAGAAGGAACCCGGTTGTGAGTCAATTGGTGAATTGCTTTTCTGTGGGTAATAATCCCTTCAAAAATAATAATAATATGGTCGCTCAATTAACATAAAAAATGCTAGACGAAACAAGACCAAGGTCCATCTAGTTCACTTTCCACTTTTCTGGAATGCACATATGTCCCGAACTACCTATGTACTATATCCCACAATGCTATTTCCTAAAAGAAAGCTAACTAATCTGTGTTTGAAAGAATCAACAGTTCCTGCTTCAACCATATCCCTAGGTTGCCTGTTCCACAGGTTCACTATTCGCTCACTGAAATAGTGTTTGAATTTACCACCCCACCCCTCCCCTTTCAATTGCAGGCCATATCTTCTCGTTTTACTATTCTGGACAAGTTGAAACAGCCTGTCATGATCTATATCATTTAGCCCCTTTAGAATCTTAAAGACAGCAATCATTCAATCCTTCGATCTTCTCTTTTCCAGCGTGAATATGTCCAATTTACTTAGTCGTTCTTCATAGTCTAGTCCCTCCATTCCCTCAATTATTTTGGTTGCCCTCTCTGTAGCTTCTCAATTTCTCCAATATCCTTTTTGTACTGCAGCGACCAGAACTGTACACAGTACTCTTGAGTATGGTCTCACCAATGAATTATACAGTGGCAGGATTACCCCACTATTTCGGCTTGCTATTGATCTTTTGATACATCCCAACAAATAGTTTGCTTTACTCACTGCCACAGAGTATTGTTGAGAGAGACATTGTTTTTGTCCCCCATGTGAAGTACTTTACATTTTGCACACTGAATTTCATCTGCCACCAACCTGCCCAATTCCCAAGTATGTGGAGTCCTGTAGTTCAGTGGCTAGAGTACTTGCCTCGCAAACGAGAGACCTGGGTTTGATTCCCGGCAGGGCACGTTTACTTAATCCACATGCCTGATAATAATCCCTCAAGAAAAAAAACAATAATAAATTGGTCACTTCAATCCACGACTGTTTGAGGAACACTGCTGTGCACAATTGGCTGCCACATTTTGCCCACAAATGTACAGTCAATTCACCTTACAGTATATTCTGTGAAGCACTTTGAGATGTCTAGAAGATGTGAAAAGCACTATATCAAATGCAAGGATTATTATTATTATATTCAAATTCTCCTGTAACCTATCTTATGGAGCTTCGCAATCTACCACCTTCGTTAGCTTGGTGTCATCTGCAAACTTAGCCACTGTGCTTGCGACGCCTAGTTCCAGATCATTTATAAAAATACGAAACAAAAGAGATCCCGAAACAGACCCTTGTGGAACTCCACCTCTAACATGTTCCCAGTCTGATGACATTCCCAGTACCACTGCCCTCTGAGACCTTCCGATCAACCAGTTGCGTATCCATTGTAATACACCTCCACTGATTCCCTCTTTCTGTACTTTCAGGTACCAGTCTCTCAAGAGGAACTGCATCAAAGGCCTTACTGAAATCCAGGTATACAACATCCGCATTCTTATCCTTATCACACCGTCAAAGAAAACCAGTAAATTAGATTGGCAAGACCTCCACTTCATGAACCCATATTGACCATCATTCTGTCCAGATGCTTCATGATTTTATCCTCACTAAAAATCTCCATAATTTTACCTACAATTTCCGTCAAACTTACTGGTCTGTAGTTTCCTGGGTCACTTTTGTTACCTTTCTTAAAAAATAGGAAAAATTCATGACTCTTTGTGGGACACTGCTGTGCGCAATTGGCTGTTGTGTTTCGCCCACAGAATATATAGTCAATTCACTTAACAGTATATTCTGTGAAGCGTTTTGGGACATCCCAAAGACATGATAAGGCACTGTATCAAATGCAAGGATTATTATTATTATATAGCACCCCTCACGCAGGAAGGATCGCACTGCGCTTGACAGTAGTGGAGCAAGGTGCCTAGCCGGGGGGTATTGACCATAGGTACAGGCGATACCTGCAGTGCAAAATTAGACCCGCAGAATCTGTCTCTTAATTAAACTGGAACACTCTAGCCTCAAAAAAACATAGAGTGGTTATGTGAAAAATTAAGACCTGCGAAAGTGGAAACTTTATTAAAAGAAGGGCAAACATTTTTAACATGCAATTAATCTCTCACTTTGATTCTATGAATAGCCAGGATGGAACCAAAATAAACCTATCATTTGCTGATCTTCACCTCCGCACAATTACAACGCAGAGCTCGCAGAGGAGATTTACAGCAGC